AAATTCAATTATGGCGCGTAATGACAGAAGTTATATGGTGCTTTTCGACCCAATAATCTTTTGTTGTACATTTTACATCAAGAACAGTTAGAAAATATTTATCAGACGAAACTACCAAGTGCATTTGAAATATTCCTTAGAATGCCCTGTGAAATCAGACCCATTAACTGCTTTTCACAGAAAATCTGCAGTCGACTCGGAACAAAAACAAGACATGGATTCTATTCAGCAGAAACTAGTATAAGGCCAACAGATTCTTGAAGAAGACGATGATATATTCACGAGTAACGAGGCCAAGCTCCGCATTCTAAGTATATCTCTGTACTGTATTCACTATTGTGAAACTCATTTTATGGCATTAGTTAAAAAATGTCATCCATCTGTCATGGAATATGGGATTTTGACTCACTCAAAACGGAACGGCACTGATGACGTCGGATGAGTAGGATCAACTATAGTCAGACTCACAGATAAATCATTGTACTGTCACAATGACCATTGACCAAGTTGCTGTACAGGGTTTCTGCGTCATTGTCAGGCTTGGTTTGCTATTTCGAACAGGGTAGAAAAAAAAAGAGGGTTCCGTGGGACAATTCGTCCTCGATTTACTTGTCCAAGTGTCGCTCCTGAAAGCGGGGAAATGATGCGTAACGAATGACCGAACGGTACTCACCGCGGGAAAAGGTCGATGATTCTCGTCCTCCGCTGAGAAAAGCTCATCTATGAAGGAAAAATTCCCTTTTCAATTATTTTCTTTTTCAATTAATTGTGTTCCTGATTTTCGATTTTAAAAGGTAAGCTTTATTTTTTTCTTGAAAACTGGCCCTCCAGTATAGAACTCGCGAAATATTCATCTTCTAAATTTTCCGTGCTGCTCATTACAATATACAAAACTATCAAAATTCTTCCGAAACAGATTTAATGAGCTTTGATTAAAAATTTTCTTGAACGTGAAACTCCTGAGAGCATTTTTAGATTCAATTTCTCATTTGATTATCCGAATCCAACATTTGAATTGGAAAACACGAATATGAAACTTGAATGAGCTTTTATACGATCTTTTCTCGAACGCATTACCTTGAGGCTTTATAAGAATACTGTACATTGCATTGCTGTAGAAAAATCGGAGTAATTTTAAAAAGTTTACACCCTGTCACATACTGTATATTGTCAGAATCAACTCTGAACAGAAAATCCTCAGGAACATTTTAATGTATTTTCTTCCACAAGGTTTAAAAAGACAAATTAAATTTTCTAGAGAGCGATTATTTAGAACTTATTCTTGTATTAAATTCCCTGATGTGGATCGGTATTATATTTAATGCAGGCCCCGCCATTTTTGAACCGGAAATGAAGAAATCTGTCTCTCTAGATTTATCTGATATTGAAAGAAGGTATTTTTCAAGTCTCAAAACCTGTACATACAGCTCTATACAAAGATTATTTCTCACTACTCCTTTCGTGCTTGTCTTTTGCAGGAAATTTTGGTCTTCGAATTTTATTGAAATTTTATTTCGCATAGCGTTTTCCAACACTCAACTGAAACAATAGCCAGAGAAATTACTTTTATCCTGAGACAAATACTGTATACCATTATTTGCTAAACAATTCATGGAAAAGGATCTTAAATGTAACGCCTAACCACCCTCAGTAGTGGGGAATGAAATTTCACGCTTTAGGGCATGATGAACGTATATCTAAAAAAATTGCGAAATATTGGAAGAACTGAACCTGCTTTTCTTAGACAATTAGTAAATTTAAAAAATAATAATTCGCATCGTACTAGAAAAAGCAGTATCTTCGGTGATGCTGCTGCGCTCATCTTGGGCTAAGATGTGGCACGACATACCGTTGCGTGGTTGCAACAAAAAACCGTGTTCTTCCCCGCAGCGTGAGAAAAACGAGTAACTGTTGATGCCAAAGAAAATTATTTATCGACAGAGTCCCATCTTTTTCTGTCGATTTATTGCGAAGAGAATGTCCCACGATTGCATTTTGCTAGGATAGCTATTTGATTCTCAAGAGAATCCCACAGCATCTACCCGAGGAATGGCTTCTTTTTTTTTGTATTTCACGGTTTACACCCATATAATTGGACCGCATTGAAGAGTGAAGATGCCGTAAACCTATGTGGAGAAAACTGGAGTAATTTTTTATTTATTTACCTGTTTCAAGGAATAAACAGCGATAATTATTTGCCTTTGAGGCTTCGATCGACCTGTATTACTTTTCTCACTGCGCCTTACGACGTGATGGCATCAAGCTTGACATTGAGCACTTATTGGTTAATGATTTTCGCGGTCGAAACCCAAACCCTTCCTAACCACGGATTCTTGTACATGAAGTTCGGTATTTTCTTGGACCTCTTGAAAAATTTCGTTTTTGCTAGCCCACTGGAAAAACATGATGATGAAGAATAAGGAAACCCGCGAGATGAGCATGGGCTTGAAAATTGTGTTGATAATTGCGAGTACGAGTATGAAAGACAGCACAAATTAAGTGAGTGGAAGAAAACCGCGCATTAGGTACGTTCTAGAATTAAATCCTACTTTTGAATGCGTCGCTTCCGTGCTCGAACGATTTCTTTTATTTATTTATTTATTTTTCGTCATACCTGGTGAATGATGAAGTTCTCACACGCTGAGCGAGGGGTTTTAACTGGAAGGCATTCACCCGCTGGTGACCAGACATCTGCACAGTCTTTGCCTGTCGCTCACAGAGAGCACACGTCTTTTTTTTTTCAGTAAAAGACTTTTTGTCCTGATCCATTTTTAGTGAGCAGAAACAAGGTGAAAAAATGGCTGTTTTGTACACTGTTTATCTGTATGAGGTGCATCAAAAATTGAACGATCCTCAATAATAACCTTTACAGCGCAGAAAAAGTTCCATTTGAAAATCCTTAATATTTCTTCGCGCTTCGGGCGAACGATTTTCTGCATGTTTTCAAATTCATAAACAAGAGGTGATTGAATAAGACAGAAATAATTAAATCACATGTAGTACTGAATAGCTATACAAGGGGCAACAAAAATTCACCGATCCTCAATAAGATAGTCTTCACAGCAGAAAAATGTCCATTTAAATATCTTGAATATTTCTTCGCGCTTTCGGTGAATAATTTCTGAATTTTTAAAAATTCATAAATAGTATTTCTGAATTACGAGGTGATTGAATCGAAAAGAAAGAATCAATTCACATAGTATATTTGCCGAGGCAACGTTTAACTTTAAAAGGTGAGCTGAATTTTGTCATCAAGAGAACCTCTCACTTTATTTTCGCAGTCGTTGTATTGTACTGTAGTACAAAGTTTTAAGAAGATTGTAAAAAAAAATTCGCAAAAAGTACGAAGTATGAGATCATTCTAAACAGCGAGAAAATTTACCATATGTCAATTCGTTCTCATCTTATGCAAAGCCTTCAAAAACTTTAACAACTTTAATATAATCCTCCTCAAAAATCATGCCACCTCAATACTAATTTGAAACACTAATTCAAGATTAGTGTTTTATTTCAAACAAGTTAAGATGCCTCATTGTCTAATATGTCTTTTACGTGTGTGCTGTAGCTCAAATATTCCAGGAGACATCATTGTACCTAAAAAAAATTGATTCATTATTTTTTTTTTCGGTGGAGTTATGGGATCGGGTAAATTTCAAAAAGCGAACAATCAAATTAATTTTTCGAAAAAACCATGCGTTCAAACATTTGAAAATCGCCTTTGAGCATTCAATGATGTGCCGCATCCTTATCGGAATCGATTCTCTGCATCTTTTCTTTCAAAATTTTAAATGGCGGGGTTCTACTTGATGGTTATTTAAAAAAAAAAGAATTTTCAGATTCGAACCGAAGTGAAGAATGAGTTCGTGTCCAAAAATTAACGGCCTCTCGACGCTGATATTCGCTGTGGCAGTATCTTTCGCTTCTTGTCAAAATCATGTGGGAAACCAGGGAAGATTCGAAGGCTCATCAGGTGCGAATCCGTCTACTGGATTGCACCTCGACACGAGCTTGCTGCTCGATCCCCGTTTGAAAGACCTGTATCAGGTCAGTGCCAATACTCGTATTCATGCATTCCAAAATTCGTATCGGCAGCACGTCTGGAAGATTTTACTTTTTCTTTCAGGTCATCGAAGAACCGTCTGAAGCCGAGAAAATTGCCCTGCTGCCAACTTACACGAAAGAAATGTCGCCTTCGCAAAATTTCCGACTCGACTCGCACAAGAAACGCCACGCCATTCATTCCCCGCCGGCATTCGAGCAAAAATTTGTTCAAGTTTCCAACGCTCTGGATTCTGTGTCCTCTCTAGAAACCAAAGACGACGTCTCTGAAAGGACTGATAAAATTTTGAGCAATCTCGAGGAAATCAAGGAAAAGCTTAGGGAACTCGGACAACTCTTGACTTCGGAGTCTGGTGGACACATGAGACAAGCTGGTGCACTGGGAATTAGTCTGGATGCCACGTCTGTGCTCGCACTTCTCACCATGGGTAAGATTCTTTTTCTCTCTTCTCCTTAAAAAAAATCAAAGATCATGATACAGTAGCATTAAATAGACGGATATAATAAAAAAGACTCAATTCATCACAATTATAGGCTGACTAACATGACAAACATTTGACCGTATACCTCGGGTATACGGGTGCAACAAGAATTAACAAGTGGAGATTTTTTTTTAACCAAGAAGCCAAAAACAGCTCTTAAAGAATTGATGGATTCGAATGCAAAACTCACCATGGGTAAGATTCTTTTTCTCTCTTCTCCTTGAAAAAAACAAACATCTATAGCATAAAATATACGAATATAATAAAAAAGAAGACTCAATTCATCACAATTATAGTTTGACTAACATAACGAACATTTGACCATATACGTACCTACGGGTACAACAAGAATAAACAAGTGAACAATTTTTTTTACGAAGAAGCCAAACACAACTCTTACAGAATTGATGGATTCGAATGCAAAACTTCACCATGGGGAGGTAAGATTGTTTTTCTCTCTACTTTTTTTTACATCGAACATCTAGCAAAAATCGACGAATATAATAAAAATAAATAAAACTCATTTCATCACAATTACAGGTTGACTAACATGAAAAATAAAAATTTGACCATATTTCTCGGGTACAACAAGAATAAACAAGTGCTAATTTTTTTTACCGATAAGAAGCCAAGAACAGTTCTTACAGAATTGATGGATTCGCATGCAAAATGACATCATGTCAAAAATGATCCCTTATTCAAATTACAGGAGACCGATATAAAATCTCAACGGGAATATTTCTTCTAAATACAGTACTAAGGTTTATTTCGAAACATGCCTTATTGAATGCAGAAAGCGGAAGAATTAATTTACCGGAAAAGCTCGTTCCAACGAAGATGTTGGGGCCAGGAAAAAAGCTTTTTTCTAGCGTTAAAATCGTTGTAAAGCGATTTGACGAATATAGCATTATTCGTAGTGAGCAGGGACCTGAAAAACGACTTCATTTTAGCCAATAGTTCGATGTAATGAGATTCTTTGTATAACGATGAGAGTCTACTGAATATGCATGTGAATTATCTGGGCTTTGAATAATGCTCAGTTAAGAAGGGGTAATAAATACAGTATGCGAGGTTTAGTTTTAAAAAGTATGTGAACATTGATTTTCAGTTCGTCATTCCGAGACACATTGTATCGCGGAAAATCAGTTCTCTCTCAAAATATGTGTACCTCGTCTATTTTGGTTCTACACTGCATGGCAGAGAAACTTCTGAAATATTTCGGGAATTGTGACAACGCTTCTCATAGAATATCAAGCTAATATATCAATTTTTAATTCTCGGCGAAGTTGAGGCCCATCTTATAATCGATGTCTTATCCTCTTATATTCAGGAATTTAAAATTTTCAATTATACAATTACAAGACAAAATTTCACCGTGCAACTGCTTTCTGCCGCATGCGACTCTTGATGCGCATGAGGAACCGCAGCTTCCGTTTGTGTTCGTTGGAATTCCTAGAGGGAAATTCTCGCTTCTTCCGGTGTCATTTCGCGATCTACAAAGCGGAACGAGAATATTAAATGATAGCCACGAAAGGTGCTGCGACGACGCATGAGAGTAATGCTTCGCTCAGAGTGAATGCCCTGCTAATTGAGCGAATGATTAGGCGAAAATCTCGTCCCGCTCTTCAAGACTCACGAGCTCATGACATGCACTTGTACACCTACATTAGCTCCTAAACGCAACCGTTGTCAATGCCAATAACATGCGTCAGTGTTTTCAAGTTCAAGTGAGGATTAGGATGTCACAATGATTTCATTACGGAGGAATAGCGACAGATTTTGCAGTCGAAGTGAGGATATAAATTTCGAACCTATCTACCTTCCGCGCATGCGTTTTATTTTTTCAAGATTACCAGGAAGGAAATAAACAAGCTAAATTGTTATTTTTATTGTTTACTAACAAGATAAAATGACAGGCAAATATACTGATATTAATGCTCGCATGATCGCATGAGCAAGATACAGAAGACACTGAAAATGAAAATTTTCTCATTTGGAAGGTAAACAAGTGTCTTCAAAATAGCCGCGGTGCAACTGGGGCCATAAAGTGGAAAAGCCTTGTACCATTAATTTGAAGAGTTGAACTACCAGATGTGAACGTTTGCGTTTCAAAATTAGGGAGAACCTTCAAGAGATATATAAATTAAAAATCGGTCTACGCTTTCGTAGTACACATGATGTGTCCTCACTAGGCAGTCAAGGAAATTACTCTGGAGTATTGAAGTGCATTATAATACATTTTTAATATTTTTTTATATGATTCAATACTATATTCGTTAATGGTAATTCTTTTAGCGTCGGTAGATGTTATTTTAATTTGGATATGAATCATCAAAATGGGCATCTGCGTCTTGGTTCTCCCTGTGAATTTTCATTCCTGCTTTAACATTGGGCCTTTGGATAAACTTGATAAAAGGTACAAAATTACATCCGGGTTCTTTTATTTTTTATCTATGCTACCAGAAATTCGTGATGCTTTTTGAAAAATTTCCGCCAGTTTTGATTGACAGCTGAAAATTCCAAATTCACCAATCCGACCGAAGTTCATATGCAATTCAATCTTTTATACACATTTTTTTTCCTGTAAAACAGTACAGTATTTTGATTTCGGTTCACATAAGAAAGTGAAGTTTGGAAAGAGTGCACACATTTTTCTGTCCGATTTTCCCTGTGAGTTCTGAACTTCTGACTATTTGGACAATGCTTTGAAAATATTTAAAAAATAAAAAGTGAAGTTTAGCATTATTTATTTATGCTCAAGTTCATATCTCATCCGAATGGTCCGTATACAGTTCACGACGTCAGCCATCTCTTTCGGCGTTCAGTCCTGTCGAAATTGAAAATTTGAAATTTTTTTTTATATATTTTGATAAAGGTTCAAGTTCATCATAATTTTTCTTTTTTTCTCAGGCGCATATCTCATCCGAATGGTCCTCACAATCCTCCACGTCAGCCAACGATCCCTGTCGGCGTTCAGCCCTGTCGAAATCGAATCCGTGCTTCCGGTCATCTCGAAACACGTGCCGACGAGTCTCGTCGACTGGCTCCTACTTCCCGTGTCCAGTGACGTGAGTGTTACCGAGAAGGAAGGCAGATCCTTGCCCGATGTGTACAAGAATGCCACCAGACGGACCGGTTTCTGGTGGGGCCAATTGAGCAAATTGCCCGGGGAACTGCAGACCACTTGGGATTTGAGCAAACACCAGAAGCCGGAATGTTTGCGTAGGTTCATTTGCCAGCGACTGGCCAAGGTCCCGCCGCATAAGCGTCAGCTGGGCGATGACTTGGTGGTTTGGACCATGTGAGTCCTAATTTCCTTCCCTTTCCCGCGAATAATAGAAGAAAAACTTTCCAAAATAGAAGCCACAAAATATATGGATGAGTGCAATTTTGCGTGAGTAATTTTTCCCTGTGGAGAATTCTTCGAGAATAATGCCCCCAACGCTGTTTTTTTTTCTTCAATTCTTATACGCATAAAGGCTAATGACATTCGGATCATCGAATATTATTTTGTTAATGCAACCCCTTTTTCCCGTATGAAAGGCCCGCGGAAACATAGTCTTGAAGGAATGTGAAGCGGAATAATATTTTTGCATGAGTTAGGCAAACCTTTGCTAAAAATTGCATATAAATCAGCGGCGTTTCTTAAGATGATTACGTTTGAGTGATCTTTGATCACGTAACATCCAATTTAACGTGCCGTGCCAAAAAGATCACCAAAATGTGTTGCAGAATCCAATTCACTTTACATATGTGCCAAGCGTTTTTTAAATTTAAAATTGTCCACATTTGATGGTCAATTTTGCAACGGTCAGCGCAGTCTCAAGTAATTGCACAAGATCACAAATGCCAAGAATCGTAGGTAACGCTAAACATTTTCAAATTGAGTATTTATGAAGGTATGTAGTACTGTATTTCAGCCAAGAATGCATTTGCGACAGCAAAATCTTCTTGAACATTTTTGAAAAGCGGGGATTAAACGAATCGCTCTCGTTGACCATTATGAAATTTTCAGGGTCAGCTCAAGTAAATTACAATTATCTTGCAATGATATATACAGGAGGATTTTCAGCGTTTGGAAGGAGCTCGGAATTTAGTGGAGCAGCTCCTGGCTATTTTTCCGCCATTTCAACTAACGTTTTCCCCTTCAAATTCTTCAGGAGCGGGATTGCTTATTACAATGGCAAACCTGTGAACATTTTCGTCGATGAAATCGACAACAAATTGGCAGCGAACCAAGAGGTGAATTGCGAAGCCTTCAGCGAGGATTGCTCGGAAAGAGAATATCGAGAAGGACTTCAGCGAGGACAGCTTTTATCAAAACTCCAAGGGTTCCTGGCTCGCTGGATGACATCCTAAACACCGAAAGAAATAAACAAACAAATTATTCTCAAAACAAATGATCGTCACTACGCGACTGTTCAGCCAAACTTCTTCCATGTTGAAACCTGAGAAGAAAGATAAATTCTGACTTGTGATTTTGTGAAGACGATTCGTGATCGTTGCGTTACTGTTTGTGATCGATGTTTTTTTTTTTTGCTCGTTAATTTTCTCGCGAGACTGTACGTAAATGATCGGCAAACGTTTATTGTGGACTGATTTGTTTTATGGGGCATGTACAGATTTTACCTGTGTTATATATGATGAGTAATAAAAAAGGCCTGAGGAGTTGAGATTTCAGGAGAATTCAATCAATTAATAAGTATTGCACTTTTCACGAACTCGGCCTCAATTGTTAAAATTTGTATGAAGCGCACTTTTTTTCGGAAAAATGTGTAAAACAAACAGAGCTCGACGTGAATTTGAAGACTTAGTATCTCTTACAGTCGGATAAAATGTATTACTGCTTCTATGTATTCACAACAAAAGTATTTTTTGAAACTTATTAGCTAATCTCTAAAAAAACCTTGATGTAATTCCTTGTCCAGTTAAATATGTTAAAAATTAGTAATCTTGATTTGAATTGGAAGATGTTAGGTTGCTCAAGCTGGTCATTTTGTAGCTGGAGTAAAATAAACAATCTTCTTGATTCAATTATTCAAGCAAGGTAATGTACTGTATATCGAAAAAAAAAATTATTTTTCAAGAAAGCGCAATGGCGAGGGAATACGACGTTTAATCTTTGAATAAATGCAGTGAATATTATTATTCCCAGAAAAAAAACACAGAAGAATGCTTTGACGGAAGCCGAGAACATTGAGAAAAAGAACGTAAAAATTGAGCTAAAAAATCCTTCGAGCTGCTGATCGGCGAGATAATTGAGATCTTCTTCCCTGTGACGAAGAGCTGATTTCACTGTTTGCAGAATCTGTGTCACAAACTGCGCAGGTGTTCGATTCATGCCGAGAAATTCTGCGTTTGTCTGGTGAGGATCGACATCTTCGAGACGCTTTCATGTCGTGTGTTGTCACACCTCGATGACTAAATAAAATAAAATCAGCAAAAACATATTTGTTCTGTAAATAACTTTTCTGGCAGAAAAAACGCTGATTTTTTATAACGAACTGATTCAAAGTTGCGACTGATGTTTCCGACGCTGATCCAATCGGTGATGAAGAGTAAGTTTGTCTCGGAAGGTACATGTTGAATATCCTCGGGCGCCTGTTGACCGAAGTTAACAAGATGATCAATCAAACCTTAGACCTACTCCATCGGAATCATTTCAAATTTTACAATATTCTCAAAATATCGCATGCCCGAAATACATAAAAAAAACCTTACGCAAGGCCTTAAAATTATGACGTACGAATTATTTCTCTCTCGGCATGCGTTTCAAAGAAATTAGCAATGCTTACGTCATCATTATGATTCCGATATCTCCAGCAGCCATCTTGCTAACGTAAATTGAAGGAATAATGATAAAAGAATCAGAGTAAAGTAGTTCAAAGACCTTAACAAGTTTGTCAAGCGCATGTCAAGCATCAGACTCCGTTCCGCAAAACCTTTACAAAACTGTGAAAGGTGTTTTTAAATGACAGGATTTTAATTTCCACTTGATATGATTGTCATCAATATATCGTCAGGATTTGAGCAGCAGCCTAGAAATGACAATAAGATATTTGCAGTTGATTTAGTTTGGGATAATGTTTAACAAAGCAAAACGAACTGAGAATCTTTCAATGCACTTGCAAAAATTCTGAGTTTCTCACTGCTGCTTTCGGAATCACCAAAGGCTGATGTCGCTGGCAAAAAAGAAAAAAAAAACTTTTCGATGTTTCCTTACAGCTGTTAATCTATTGTTATTCCATCAACTGTAATTTCTTTATCCTTTCCATGCGTGCGTCAGCATCAAAGTTGAATACAATTACAAGTGTGGCGAATATCTTCACGTATTTGATATTGTCAAAAAAGTATTGAAAAGGAGAAGCCCGAATTTCCCCACATTCGAACTTGTTTTTTTTCAACATACGAGAACAAAATGATGAAAACATTTTCCCGTCAGCACGGAAGAATACACCGGATTCATTTGGTCTAGGTGGAATTTTTCTGCAAAAAACGGATAAACATTTTACTGTGCTTCAAGCGATTTCATTCCAACACCTTCAAGATAATGTATTACATAATAGCCAATTTCGATGTGTTTCTGTATGTATTCAACCAAATATTTTAAAAAATACCGAAAAAGCTGACCTCTCCAATGTTGCGCAGTAAATCGATGGTCACCCTGAATTTTCTTCAGAATGAAGCATGAGACCCTTTTTCACATGAATAGTAACTTTCCTCTGAATCAGCTTCTTTTACAAATACGACAAAATTTATTTCTCACTCAACCGCTTCGCGTCTATCAGATCTAACGAATATGGCCACGTGTGAATAATTTC